AGATGAATTAGATTTGTTTAAGCCAATGATGAGACCATGGGATCACCACTACGGTTATTAGATCAAGGAAGAAATGGGCCATTTAAGGTCATTTGAGATATAGGCTACCATTGGTCGTGTAGCAATCAATTTTAGCTTTGGAATTTGTTAATGTCCGGACTGTGTGTATAGACTCGATCCGTAGATCACCAGGTCGTTAGATCCACCGTGGCAAGAGAACTTGTGGCAATTGTTGATAAAAAGGATTATGCTTGGAAGTCATGTGGGGCGACTGTGAGATTACTCTAGACTTAGCAACCCGACGGGGCGTCCGCATTCCAGATAGATTGGAACCAGGGAGGTCCCGGTGGACCTTGGGGAAGCAACCATGTAGCAACATACTGTTCAGGCAGTTCAATGTTTCAGGCAATTTAGTGATTCAGATAGTTTAGTGTTTCAGGTAATTCTATGTTGCGGGTAGTTTTAGAGTACCAGACAGTATTGGTGTCGTAGGAATTCCAGTACCGGAGAAGCAACTGAATTATTTGGAAGGGACTTGTCACTTGTAGTGGGATTAAATAATCTCATAGTAGTTGATTTGAACATGTTGCCTAGCTCTCATATGAGTCTAACTCTTATAGGGATGAATCTTCTACTCGAAGGATTATCTAAGCCTTTTGTCAAGTATAAGTAATCTACAACTAGTTATGGACAGGGATTTTGTTTCTAATGATAGCATTTAGATTATCAGCAATGGGGAATATGCATTGGTCACTTACTCGATGAGGTTTTGGCATGGTAGTTAGGGCATAGGCGGTCAGTCAGGAAGATAGACCATTATGGAACTCAGACCTTGCTAAGGCTATGCTATTTTCAAGTTTGTGGCCGTATTGTTCAGGTCGTCTGGTTTATCGGGGATGGTAATGAATGATTTCAAGGACGAAATCTAATTTAAGTGGGGGAGAGTTGTAATGCCCTATTCTGAAATGACTCCTAGTATGAGGCTGTGGCCTGAAGGCCAGTCATCATGAGGATTATGGCTTTTGAAAAGGGTAATATCTAGGCCATTTTAGGTGCGAGTGATGAATTTGAAGCGATCCGGATGTTTAGTTTGTGTTTTGGAGCCTAGGGGTATTTCGGTAAAGTGTTAGTTTGGGCTTTTGTGGGAAATGAACTTCTTTTTGGAAGGTCTTAAGCAAGATATGAGTTGATATGAAGTGTAGGGTTTCTCGTTACATTTTCGTGGATATAAGGATCGTCAAAAACGGATTTATAATGAAGAAGTTATGGCCTTCGGAAGTTTAGTGGTTTCAGGCTTAGATAAGTACGTTGGGCGTACTAGTGAAGATGGCAGTACATTGGGCCTACTTTTGAGTACGTTGAACGTACTGACTAGGATGGTCGCGAATGTTCTTCGGAGTATGCTAGGCGTACCATACCTATTCTGGGCGTATGCTAATTAGACCTGAAACCAATTTTATGGTCTTGGACCCTATTTAAGCTCATTATCTCATAACCTAACCCTAATATCTTCAGCCAACACCCTCTAAACCCTAGAAATCGACCCTTAGACCTCATTTGAGTGATTTTGGAGGCCATTAGAGGAATATTTTGGTGCTTTTGAAGAAGAAGGTGTTTAGAGAAGAAGCAAGAGATTGAAGAGAGCTTGTAGATCCAGAGGTTTTACATCATTTTTAGCCTATTGAAGGTATAAAGTTCTCATCTGGTTGCTTCTACATCATAGATCTAGGTTCTCATGGATATTGTCCTTTTTTTGTTTCAAGAACAGATTTTTATGGTGCAAATCCATTTCTGGACATAGGGTTGCCACCCATGAAGCTATTTCAGTCCCTTGAGAAGTAAAGTTGCAATCTTTAAGTCCCAGTTGCATCCATGCAAGAGATCTAGCCATTTCCATGAAGATAGTTGTTATTTTTACATGTTTAATCTCATTTGGTAAGGTGCAAGCCACCAAGTGATCAACTTTATGGGTTAAGAAGGGTTATTGGAATCAGATCTATAGTTGGATGTAGTATCTTATGGTTTTAAGAGGTTTGAAGAAAATGGCTTCACAGGAAAGTACGTTGGGCGTACACGCCAGTACACACAGCTTACAAGCCATGCAAGTTGTACGTGCAACTTACAGAAGAGTATGCTCGTCATACACTCAGATTCTAGACTGTAAGTTATTGGGCCTCAGTTTGGGTCAATCCTTTGGCTTAAGAGATGTTGGGCCATGATGGGCCAGTTATGGGCCAAGGACTAGTTTGGGCTTGGGTGGAAAGCCCATTTGCGGAGTTAGGCCCAATTTAGAAAATTGGGCCATTGGAGGACTTTAATGGGCCTTAGTGAGTTCGGAAAGACTAGAACGGATTGGGCCTCGGTCATGGTCCAATTTAGATCAAAGGGGGTAAAATAGTCATTTTACCCTTAGATGGATTCTCAATTTTTGACTAAGTGTTTATTTTGGTCATAGTAGTCGGGGAGTCGTTGGAGTAGCTGACAGAGATACCCTCACCCAAGTTTTCAGCATCCAGTTTGAGAGGTGAGTTTTCCTCTATTAGGAACGGGTCTAAGGCACCAAGGTCGGCCCATTTAAGTAGTAGAGTATGCCAGGGTAAGCCTGATGTCGGGGTTAGCCCGATGCAGTTTACATGTTTCCAGACTTCGGTCCGATGCCGGGGTGGTTCCGAGTAGTAGTTATGTATGCTTGATGTCTTTATGATTCATACATGTTTATATGTTATGTGTTATATGTTCCTGACTCCAGTCCGATGCCGGGCAATCCCGATGCAATATATGTGATTACGTTATATGTTATGTGTTCCGGGGTAAGCCTGATGTTGGATCAAGCCTGATGTTTGTTAGTCATTATGTTGTGTATTATGTATTTCGGGGCAAACCCGTTGTATGCTAGTTTATGTGTTATGTTGTTTGTTCCGGGCTTCGGTCTGATGCCGAGGCAAGCCCGATGCATGGGTAAGCCAGATGCCCGATGCGGTCAGATGCTGGGGTAAGCCCGATGCCGAACAGGTGTCCGATGCCAGGTAAGTAGATGTCGGGATTCGTACCGATGTAGTGGGAGTAGTCCTAGAGTCATGTTATTTGATATGTGGTAGTTTGGGGGAGCGCACTAAGCTTCATGCTTTCAGTTTCATTTTTGGTTTCAGGTACTTCAGCTAGCAAAGGGAAGGGCTCGAGCTGATGGCATGGCACACACCACAGTCTATTAGCCTGGGATCTTACTCTGATATTTATTATGAGACTATTATATGTTGATAGATTTTATGAAATTTTGAGATACATGCTTGATGATTTTATCTTATGGTGATAACATTATGTTTGTTAAATGATTATAAAAATGAAATTTTCGTCTTGTATTTTTGGGATGTTTCAGACATGCTTTAGGCATCGCCATCAATGCGTTTCAGTCCCATTGAGAGACGGTTCGTGACGCCAGTTTCGCCTTTAAAATCCCCTCTTTTCCCCAGGATCTTCACTCTCATATCCCCATTCTAGCTTTGTTGCAAAAATCCGGGTATTCTGTTAATTTTCTTTTAGATTGTTCATCCTTTTCTCAATGATGGACCGTTACGGTAGAATCTCTACCACTGAGGAGTTCCAATTTCTGCAAGATCGTTTTGGCTTCTTACCAGAGCCTGACTTATTGATTCCGACAAATGGGGTGTTAATCTATGACCACCCTCAAGAGAAGGTGGGGGTTCCGATCCCTCTATTTGAAGTGGGATTACGCTTGCCAACATACGATTTCTTCAACATGATTGTGGACCACTATGGCCTTTCCATCGACGAGTTGACTCCGAGCGTTGTTAATAAAATCATTGGTTTTGAATTGATTTGTCGATCTCTGGTTATGTACAAACTTTCTGGGTTTTCAGTTACTTCTTCTGTTCGATCACAAATTTCGGTGTCCGTACTTTTGCGAAAAGAAGAGGCATTCGTTAGTTGATTTATGAACAAGACGCTCCGAGGAAAAATTGGCAACGTCAGTGGCATTGGGTTAACCAAAACCTTGTGGGATGCGGATATCGTAGAACCCGTGATTTTTCTGACTGTCTCCCCAAGTTGTTTGGGAGGAATCTAACTCTCGACAAGCATCTGGGAAACATCACCATTACTGGGAGGAACTGGGAAGATTTCATTCTTGGAGCGGCTGATATTAGTGCTACCTGGAGGGGTCGCGGAAAAATGGTGCAGATGTTCGTCATGAGATGCAGTATTAACCCTTCTCCTTCCCCCCCCCCCTTTGTAAACAAAGTCAGGATAGGGTATCTTGTTGGCTTGTGACATCTTACTTTTGGTGTTTGTTTTTTGCAAGTGTTGATCCCGAGGTATCTTTGGAGATGGCCATGCGTGGTCACTATCAGGGCAAGCTTTGCCATCGAGAGATCGATCTTGTAAAAGATCTTCCTCCTCCTGTTTCTGAAAGGCGCATACGAGAGCTTGCTAGACTAACCTTCGTGGAAAGAGGAAATCAAGGTTCTAGTGGGCCTATGTCGCCTTCCCAGCCGACTGTTGGGGTTGTTTCCCCAGTTCGCTTGCCGGTTTTCATTCCTTTTGGTTGGCCTGTGGGGGTGCAAGCGGGAAGTAGTAGTGTTCCTACTCGGAAATGGTAGAGTTCGCGTGTGGTGCCATCGTTGGACGAGGAGATAGAATCCGACGATGCAGGTCTTCATCCTCGTAAAGCTTGTAGGACTGTATCTGTGGCCAGGCTTCTTGGTGATATCGGGGGTATACTCGGCGGTCAATTTTCTGCATCTGGGAAAAAAGAGGTAGTGGTGGTTCCTAGTTCTCCGAAGGCATCACCCTCACCGTCCACTAGTTCACCTGGAGATTCTTTACGGCGCGATAAACCTTCCTTGGTTGATGAAACAGGAACTTCATCTCACTCCCTATCTTTCGAGGCCTACGCTCCGGGATGGGAGATTACTAGAGACTCCTTACTGTCGGAGAAAGCTGCCGCCTAGGACTGGAGCAGATGAGCTCATCCTCTGTCCACGATGAGTTCTCTAGCTGGCCAATCAAGTGCTCGTATGGCTGGTGGCCATTGTTACACTGCGGCCCAGACTTCTGCCCTTATGGTTGCACCTTCCAACCAAGTTCGTTGTGCTAGTGCGAAGCAGGGGCAATTGAAAATGTTGCATGGTGCCTTGGCAGGCATTAAGGAGGAGGTTCATGTTTCAGAGGTGGATCGCCAAGTACTTGCTTAGCAGAATAGCATTGTGGCCTATTAGAAGGCCACTTTAGTTGATCAAGTGGCCACTTTGGAGGACCAGTCAGAGCGACTTGAGGACCAAGTGAGCTCTCTCACTCGAGAGAACGATGTGCTAGTGAACAAACTGGCAAGGTGCCGTCACTCGAGGTAGTTTGCAATGGGTGCTGGAGAAGGGGGGTAGTTCGCGTGATTGAAAAGGTTATCGAGAGCATGGAATTTTCCAGTGGGGTTCGAGATGTTCGTTAGTCAGGTGAGGCCCTTGGATTTGAAAAGGGGAAACAACTGGGTGGTTTCTCTACAAGTTTCGGAGAACCTGAAGTCCCAAATCCTAGCCGTGTTGCAAGAAGGGCTGAAGAGGTGGATGTTGCTCTATCGTCCCTAGCTGAGACAAATTTTGCGGGCCTCTTTTGCTTGGGGAAGCTTGACCATGACAACTTTCACCAATTTTGTGGTATGTCGAAACTGAAAGATTCTTCCTCAGACTCTGAGGGCTGATTTTGTATATTTCCCTTTTGCTTGTTGTGTAGTTGCCTTTTTATGTACCATGTGTATAGTAAAGAATGTTGGCCATTATTAACCATAAACTATGTACTTTGTTTTGTACTTTTGTTTGAAGTGTTTTCTTCCATTTTTTTGTACATATACACGTTGTTGTGGCATGTCAGCACAAATATTATGGTTTTCTTGTGGTACCTTTAAGCACACTCCCTTGTTCTAGGGTTTGCATTAACTGGCTAATGTGTGCTTCAAACGTCATATGGCTACTATCATTGATCCATGCTCCATTGATTTGTATGCTTAGTTAGTCTTATTGTGTGTAGCCGTAAAATGTTAGTCAGTGTTGTGGACTTGTATGGTCTATCTGCCAGTACATAGGTCGAGATCGTCACCTCAAGGGCTTTTATTGTTATGATATCAGGGGAAAGGTTATGAATCTTTTAGAACCCCTTGTATTGTGCCATTAATTTTGATTTATACATTCTCAGTTCGGAGATGTTATTGGCACATTGTAGGTAAACATTATGACTCTTTTAAGATCTACGGTTGCATCCTTGCATGGATTTTGCTCAAGTAGCGTAGGTGATTAGCCGTTCTTGCTACTTGGAAAATATGCACAACCTCTATGCTTTGTGGTTTTGCAATACAAAATTCTGGAAAGATTTTTCAAAATGCAAATTATATTATTTCTTGAAAAGGAAAGAAAGACTTAAGACAATAGACCCTGAATGTATAAGTGTCGGAGCGCATGCCCGGTCTTTGCTTTGGCACATGGAGTATGGTTATCCTAGGTGGAGTTCGACCATACTCCTTTTTCCAAGCCTGTGCTTTATTATGGATTGAGTGTTCTGCTATGGCTACCTCACTTCTGTTGTGTTTCTGTGCCTCGTCTGCGGCAAGTGCTTCTTGATGGGGTTCCCTCATGTTGCTGCTGGTGGTGCCCAACGTGAGAGAGATGAACTTTGTTTTTCATCTTCTGGAGGTGCCTGGAATTTCCTTTCTTCTCGACATAGTGCAGGACGCAACTGTAGGAAGCGCATCCTCGTGGCCTGGTGAAAGTACCACCCATGTGGTCTGTTGTGTCCAACAGCCTTGCGTCTCATGTTGTTGCCTGGGGTGTTGTTTAGTACGTTTGAGGCACATGTTAGTTTTCTCCCATAAGGAAGTTTGCGGATTGGCACTCTGCCCCTGGCTTCGGTGTTTCTGGTGCCTATTTCCTTCATTCATTGGGGTTTTGGTTCATATTTTGCATTGGCCAAAATGTACTTTGAGTCTCGAATCACTCTCTGGTCGGGCACGGTTCGACCATCGGTTATGGGCCTAGCTGGTGCCTTTCCCTATGAGTAGACACTTTTTTGCTTTGCGATTTTCGCTTCATTGTTTGGATGATTCATCGTTGGTTCGGCATGTTCTTCCCTTTGGGGGAGAGGTGTTGTGAGCCGGCTGAACGTACCTCTTTGTCTTTTCTTATGCTCGTGGGTGAGTGCTTGTGCAACTTTCTGTTGTGGATTTTCCACCTTTTGGCGACCTTCGCTCTGAGGTAATTGCGTTTCTCGTTTCATCCCTTGTTGGGTGTCATATCGATTACCCATATTGAATGCCAGTACCGTTGCCGATCTGTCATCTGTACTGAATTTGTGGATACCATGAAAGGTAGACGGGATTTCCTGCAGCTGGAACAGTGCTGGCCGACCTAGTAGGATATTGTGATCATTTGGGTGGTCAACGGCCGAGAATTCGAGTGCTCTTATTATTCGTTTGGTTACATCATGATGATCAATTTAAATGGGAGTGTTACTGTTCCCGTTGGCCAAATGACATGACTGGTGAACCAAAGTAACGGGCCCTGGCGTGGTAACTGGATGTGGTTTTTCCATTCAACCGGTAACTGCCGAAGGCAGTGTTTGTAAATCACATTGACCATGCTTCCGGTATCGATGTACACTTGTTCAATACGGTTTTGGCTAATGAAACCGGTGGTGTGTAGAGGATCGTTCGTATCCCAGTGCTCTAGCCAGGGATCATGTGTTGAAAATGTTATATTGAGGATGTTTTGATGATATACCTGCACGTCACACGCTGGCTCTGGCGATTGCTATATGGGCGGGGCCTTGTGATGGTGAGTATCTCGGCTCTTCTTTCATTATCCTTGCCCCCATCTTTTTGATTTTTTGGCTGGTGTTTGTCCCCATCAAATCTCACCCTAAGGTCCTTCTCTATGTTAACTACATTTCCCACTAGTTGTTTCTCATCAATCTCTCGCTTCAATGTTGTACACTCGCTAGTGTCGTGTGTTTTGCTTCGTTGGTACTCACATATATAACTTGGTCTTTCTTTGCTCTCCTTGGATGTGAAGTGTTTTGAGCATTCTAACACTCCTATGGTGTACATGCAACCCTAGAAACCTTGGATCTATGTTTTCCTAAGATACATGCAAATTTGCTTTTCCAAGGTTCTTAACCTAACTAGCATGGCATGGGGAACTTTGAAACTTAATAAGCTAGTATAGTTACATACCTTTTAGTAGTGGTTGATTGCTTGGAGTTTGAGATCCTAGCACCAATAATGTGGATGCCTCAAATGGAAGTCACAAATCACCACAAACCTTGGAAACTTGAGAGAACAGTAGATCACTTCTTGAAATCGGCCCACCCCTGTTCTCATACCAAACTAGTGCCATTTCAAGTGCCAAGGACTCCTTTATATATTGTGGTCGATTAGGGTTACATCCATGTAAACCCTAATACCCATCACCTTTCATTTCCATGAGATCCATGGGTTAAAGCTCCATGGACTATGCATGGACTTACCATGCAAGCATAGCCCATTCTGAATAAGCGTTAGCCCACATTATATAAATACAAGAGTCCATATTTAATTAGTCACACTTTTGATCACTAAATTAATTTTAGATCAATACTAGTTAAATAATATGATTTCTTATTAATATATTAGAACTTATAATATGTTAATAAATCATAACTTATACTATTCTTAAAAGATTATCCATATAAATTGTTCGTGTGAAGTGCAATCGAAATGGACCATGTCGGGTTGGGTTAAGTACATCTCAAATATAGTTATAGACTTAGACACCTTATCCAATAGTCTCCCACTTAGATAAGTCTAATATCTATAGTTGCAATTATGACTTCATGAACCGACCAAAAATCGTAGCTCTTAAAACTCTATTGGACTCTGAAGCGCCATTTTAGATAAGGGATCATATAGTCCTCTGTTCTAGATATCAGCTGGACAAATACATGGAACAATGTCTTACATAATGTCCATCAGTTTGTTTCTCAATTTTCCGTTTTATTTGACATAGAACTTAATTGAACACATCAATTTATTTCTGACCCGGTCCGGTACATGGGTCAACACAAAATTATCGAGGGGCCCAGATATCGCTTCTAATCCTAGAAGGAACAGATAGACTTTGACTCATAGGCTTGTTCTACTACTTGTTGAATTATACAAAAAGTCACATTTTATAACATCGAGTTACCAATGCATTTTCGTACAATCAATGTATAACCAACTCATAGGTAACAACTCTTATCTCTAGGTTTGAAGACTTATATGATATTACCGTATCACGATCACTCGAGATAAATTCCATGAAGTGATACAAGTGAGCATGGGTTGAATCCAATACTCAGAACTTATGAGCACTTACGAGTGTTGTAGCAACACTTGTCTATGTCCAACATCTTAGACATCTACAACCAACTACATTACAATCTTGATTCATATCTACTTCCAAACATATGACCGACTGTGGAGAATTTGAATAATATGAAATACCATAACATAATTATTCTGGAAGTTAAAACATGCAAAATGAAATAATAGTAAAACGATTGACAAAAGATAGCAACACTTTACTCATAAATAAACAACTTTTATTCATCATCAAATGTCAATTATACTTTACACATTTCAAAACTATCTAATTACTAAAACTAAAATCATCCTTCAGCCCTATGCACCTTACATGCTGGAGATGCTTAACCCTACTCAGTCCCTTCATGAGGGGATCTGCTGGGTTCTCATCCGATGATATCCTCTTTTGCCACAAGGAGTCCTTCTTATATTCAATGTCTGATGAAATGGTATTTTCTGTCGATGTGTCTAGATATCCCGTGATCCCTTGGTTCCTTGGCTAAGGCAACTTCACTTTTACTATGACAACAAATATCTACAGGCTCCTTTATAACTTGTACAACTCCAATGTCTCCAAGGAAGTTCTTTAGCCATATAGCCTCTTTTGCTCCCTCGCTTGCCGCTATATACTTTGATTCGCAAGTTGAATCAACCACTGTCTCTTTCTTGGAACTTTTCCAAGTAATTACTCCTCCGTTTAAGGTAAAGACCCAGCCAGACTGAGAGCGGAAATCAACCCTAGCAGTATGGAAGCTAGCATCACTATACCCTACTACTCTCAAGTCATCACTCCCACCAAGGGTAAGGACCCAATTCTTAGTTCTCCGTAGGTACTTGAGAATGTTCTTTACTGTAGTCTGGTGATCCTTGCCAGGGTTCCCCTAATATCTGCTGACCATGCTCAATGCAAAGGACACATCAGGACGAGTACAAGTCATAGCATACATCATCGAGCCTATAGTGGAATCATACAAAGCTCAACTCATCTCTGCTCTCTCAGCCTCTGTACTCGGGCTTTGAGTCTTACTCAGTATGGCGTTACATTGGATCGGTAACTCACCTTACTTGGAGTTTTACATGTTGAATATTTTCAACAGTTTATCCACATAGGTGCTTTAACTAAGTCGAATTAGTCTCTTACTCCTATATCTCAAAATGAGTATCCCTAGGATATAGGCAGCTTCTCCAAGGTCCTTCATAGCGAAACACTTCCCAAGCCATGACTTTACTTCCTGCAGGGTTGGGATGTCATTTCCTATGAGTAGTATGTCATCCACATACAGTACCAAGAAGCTAACTATACTCCCACTAACCTTGACATATATACAAGA